CAGTAGTAGTAGTAGTAGTAGTAGTAGCACTGGACAACAAGAAGGTACTACTAGTACTACTACTTACCAAATTACTACTAAAGCAGGGAACAGTGATGATGAAAAAGATCTAAATATTATATTTAACCTCATGAACTAGAAAACCAAAGCTTCTCTGGACTAGGGAGAAGACTGCTCCTAGCTGTTCTGAGGGGCGGCATCTCCCTCTGAGGAGGTTTGCGGGGGCGCCACCAGGTTCTATGCACACTGACAAGCCTACTATTAAGGCAGGTCGCTGGATTCAGAGGACATAAAAGAAGGTGGTTCACAGTTTGGTGGATGGGTGAGAACCATGCCATTATCATTTCAAAGTGCACTGCCAAGCCAGAAGGCAAGTCCCATCACAGTGATCAAGGAAGTGAGTGTCAAGAACACTGGGGGCTGTGTTGTTGTTGTTGCTATCCAACAAGAATGTCAGAAACAACAATATCATGACCAGAATACACTGGTTCCGGTCCTTAAGAACTGGGGTAGGGGGAGGATGCTGATCATGGCAGCAGCATCTTGGTGGTGGAATTGCTGTAATAACACGGGTGTTGTTCTTGTTGCTGTCCAACATGAATGTCAGAAACAACAACATTGGGACTGGAATTGTCTTCTCTGGTCTGTAAGGAATACTGTTGGAACTGCATGGAGATGCTGAGGAATCTTCTTTAAAACTGAGTATGATGTAGCATATTCTCCAGGCATTGTTCTTCAATAGGTCTTGGTTGAATACTAGGGGCTGGTGTTGTTGTTGTTGCTGTCCAACACAAATGTCAGAAACAACAACATCGGCACTGGAATCATCTGCTTCCACCAGTCCATAAAGAAAACTAGAACTGCATGGAGATGAGGCTGGGGAATCTTCTTTAAAAACTGAGTATGGTGTAGCATATACTCCAGGCATTGTTCTTCAAAGGACAGGTCTTGGTTGAATGATGTTGACTGGGGTTGGTGTTGTTGCAGCCCAACACAAGTATCAGAAACAACAACATCTTGGCCGGAATCTCTGGTCATTAAGAACTAGGGATGGATCCAGCTGAGGCAAATGCAAGCACCAGCTGGTGGGGTGACTGGGGATACTGATCTCAGCAGTATCTGCTTGGATGGATTGCTTTAATGGAACTTGGGAGGTTGTTGTTGCTGTCCAACACAAATGTTGGAAACAACAACAACTTGACTGTAAAACACTTCTGGTCTGTAAGTTATGGAACTACATGGAGATCCTGGGGAACTTTCTTTAAACTGAGTATGTAGCATACTCCAGGCATTCTTCTTCAAAGGATTGGTCTTGGTTGAATACTGGGGACTGGGCTTGTTGTTGCTGCTGTCCAACACAAATGTTGGAAACAACAACAACTTGACTGTAAAACACTTCTGGTCTGTAAGTTATGGAACTACATGGAGATCCTGGGGAACTTTCTTTAAACTGAGTATGTAGCATACTCCAGGCATTCTTCTTCAAAGGATTGGTCTTGGTTGAATACTGGGGACTGGGCTTGTTGTTGCTGCTGTCCAACACAAATGTTGGAAACAACAACAACTTGACTGTAAAACACTTCTGGTCTGTAAGTTATGGAACTACATGGAGATCCTGGGGAACTTTCTTTAAACTGAGTATGTAGCATACTCCAGGCATTCTTCTTCAAAGGATTGGTCTTGGTTGAATACTGGGGACTGGGCTTGTTGTTGCTGCTGTCCAACACAAATGTTGGAAACAACAACAACTTGACTGTAAAACACTTCTGGTCTGTAAGTTATGGAACTACATGGAGATCCTGGGGAACTTTCTTTAAACTGAGTATGTAGCATACTCCAGGCATTCTTCTTCAAAGGATTGGTCTTGGTTGAATACTGGGGACTGGGCTTGTTGTTGCTGCTGTCCAACACAAATGTTGGAAACAACAACAACTTGACTGTAAAACACTTCTGGTCTGTAAGTTATGGAACTACATGGAGATCCTGGGGAACTTTCTTTAAACTGAGTATGTAGCATACTCCAGGCATTCTTCTTCAAAGGATTGGTCTTGGTTGAATACTGGGGACTGGGCTTGTTGTTGCTGCTGTCCAACACAAATGTTGGAAACAACAACAACTTGACTGTAAAACACTTCTGGTCTGTAAGTTATGGAACTACATGGAGATCCTGGGGAACTTTCTTTAAACTGAGTATGTAGCATACTCCAGGCATTCTTCTTCAAAGGATTGGTCTTGGTTGAATACTGGGGACTGGGCTTGTTGTTGCTGCTGTCCAACACAAATGTTGGAAACAACAACAACTTGACTGTAAAACACTTCTGGTCTGTAAGTTATGGAACTACATGGAGATCCTGGGGAACTTTCTTTAAACTGAGTATGTAGCATACTCCAGGCATTCTTCTTCAAAGGATTGGTCTTGGTTGAATACTGGGGACTGGGCTTGTTGTTGCTGCTGTCCAACACAAATGTTGGAAACAACAACAACTTGACTGTAAAACACTTCTGGTCTGTAAGTTATGGAACTACATGGAGATCCTGGGGAACTTTCTTTAAACTGAGTATGTAGCATACTCCAGGCATTCTTCTTCAAAGGATTGGTCTTGGTTGAATACTGGGGACTGGGCTTGTTGTTGCTGCTGTCCAACACAAATGTTGGAAACAACAACAACTTGACTGTAAAACACTTCTGGTCTGTAAGTTATGGAACTACATGGAGATCCTGGGGAACTTTCTTTAAACTGAGTATGTAGCATACTCCAGGCATTCTTCTTCAAAGGATTGGTCTTGGTTGAATACTGGGGACTGGGCTTGTTGTTGCTGCTGTCCAACACAAATGTTGGAAACAACAAGGACGTGACTAGTATTTTTAAACTTTTGCAGGTGTTTGAGTGCACAGTCTGAGTCTGCTATCACATCCATATGCTTGGTCAACAGGATCATAGTTACTAATCATTTGGAAAGCCAGCCTTTGCCTGAATTCACAATAGTAACTCAGAACCCTCCCAAGTTTCCAAAGCCCACCAAGACTTCCATCTTAAATAATGGAAGCTGTTGCAATTGTCAAAGCTTTGGCATGGTTGACTGAAGTATGGTGGCAGTATTTCCAATATTTGTACTTCCCAAATTTTGCTCAAGATATATATGTGCAGTATCAATATGATCCGTCTTGCCAAAGCTATCATATGACATATGTTTCCAGATGCACAAATTGTACATTTTAAATGTTTTATATATGTAAATGTACATTAATCAATATCAATAGGACCCCCCAACTCCCCCATATGACTAGAATCCTCTTTTTACTGGGATTTGATTCATGTACCTATCATACTTAACCACCATCTATTGTTGGGGACCAAGTTATAGCTGTTAGAGTGAGTTGACACTTGTTATTATTTATTGATCTACATGTTGTTCTACTATGTATTGATTTTGGGCCCTCTTTTTACTGTGTAACAACTTCTTATGGTTGCAACGAGTACTGTAGGAACAGTACGGAGGATCACTCGTGGATCCAATCATGAGTCCCCGGGACCCAAAACTATATATATATAGTATCGAAAACTATATAGTACTACCAGTACTATTAGTACTACACGAGAGTACGAGTATCAGACAGTATACTATATATA